CCAGCACCCATCGGGTAGGCCCAAACGACACTTCGTTTGGGCCTGGCGGCGCTCTTGAAGCTGCCGCCCGCCGATTGAGGCTGAACCGTCCATCTGGACGGTCCAGGGTCTGGCCTGGCCTCGCAGCATTGAGGCCAGACCATTGCCTACCGGTATAAGTACCGGTACCTGCCTCAGTTGAGGCATCGGCCTACCGGAACTCTACCGGCACGGCATGGTCAGTACCAGCGTACTGTTTAATGCGCTAAACTCAGCGCAGGGGCTGAAGCAGGAGCGCAGCATAGCGCAGCAGCGAGCGGAGCAGCAGCAGGGCGACTGAACCAGCACGGCGGCCATTGCCGCCTGAGGTACCGGGAGCTTGGAGGGTCTCTCCTCCTCTCCCTCGCCAGTCCCCTCTCTCTCTCTCTCTCTCCTCTTCTTCTCCTTCTTCTCCTTCTTCTTCTTCTTCTTCTTCTTCTCCTTCTTCTTCTTCTTCAGATTGGAGACTATCCAGTTGGACAGAGATCAGGGTTGGATTTCGGTGATACAAGACTGTGGTACTTACCTGATTGGAGACTTGGAGATTGTTGAGGTTGATACTCGACTGCATCACAGTTGGACACCGGTTACATCTGGACTCGGTTATCTCCGACATTGGTGACCTTTGGTCCTCGACAATTTGCTCTTGTTATATGACATTCTGGACTACCTTTTCGGAGACCTACCGGACTCTATCTTGTGACCTATCGGTGTGATCTACCTCCTACCTCCTTCGTCTCTTCTCCCACCTTTCATCTGTGTATGTGTGTACGGGATCTGGGTATCGTCTATGCATGACCCAGACCCCACCATCTCATGATTGTATGTGTGTGGAGTGATSCCATGTAGGTCAGTCTATGTGAGTCAGTTCGTTATCAGACTTCCGCTGCATAAATGCTCATCCTATATTGGTTGATCTTTGGTTCTGCCCATACTCATTGAAGTATGTAACAGGCTGGATCTCCTTTAATCTCCAATTATCGGCTACGACATGCATCCGGCGATGTTGGCTACTGTAGCTCCTGGTCTCACAAGACGTAGGCGATGGTGTATGCGCGCTTCGTTCACTTCAGACCACATGGCCGCACCCGAAGGGCGCGGCGGAAGGCTATCTCCTCCTCAACGATGGTGTGTGGCGCTTACGACCATTGAACAGAATTGGTGGACAAACACGGCGATGACGTGCACAGAAACCGCACGAGAGTTCGTGCTTTCATCCAATTATCGGCTATGACATGCACCCGACGACGTTGGCTGCTGTAGCTCCTAGTCACACAAGATGTAAACGATGGTGTATCCACTCTTCGTTCACTTCAAACAACACGGCCGCGCCCGAAGGGCGCGGCGGAAGGCTACCTCCTCCTCAGTGACGGCGTGTGGTGCTTGCGGCGATGGCGTGCATGGAAAACGCGCGAAAGTTCGCGCTTGCAACGCTTCGAAAAAAGGCGCGGGCGGGAGCGCTTACCAGTCGGCGCTCGCGCGAAGTGTTTTTCGGAATTTGATTCTTTTCGGAAAAAAAACTCTCTCCTTGTGTTAAGTTTCGGGATCTTATTCCCCCATTTGCTGCGCATACTCTCATCTGGAATTTAATCTGGATTATTCTTTTTTTTTTTTTTTGGAATTAACTGGACTTGCAATTTTTTCAATTTTTCCAGTTCCACATTATTCTTTATTTGTTTGTAACTTTGCAGCCTCAAATTCAAAAAAAAATTCATTTTTTTTCTTTTGGATTTCTGTCGCTGGGGGATTGGGAGCCTGCCAAACTTGCAATTTCGATATTTTTTTTTGTCGAAATTATGATTATTCAAAAGTTTGAATTTTTTTTCAAATTTGATTAGAGGCTCCTTATCTGGGTGATCAGTGTTCCACCCACCCCACCCCTGCTGTCACACTTCTCTACTTCTCTTCCTCCCGCCTGTCCTCGTCTGCAGCATTTGTAAGTCACCACATCTGCAGGTCACGTCAGTGCATGGTGCTCACCCTCTCAAAGACAAGTGGCATGGAGCAGCAGACTGGACGAGGAGGCAGTTCAAGCAACCGGCAGCGGCGGCAACAGCCGCACGAAAGAAGAGGGACGAGGAGGCAGCAAAACAGTGTCGCCTCGTTGAACAGCAGCGACAGGAGGACGCCGACGCAGCAAGGCCACAGACGAACGCCGTCGACTATGCCGAGACAAGCTCTTCGAATTTGAGGGGGACCTCGAGGTGATTGTCTGTGAATGGTCAGTGACTGCCGACGAGGAGGATGCCCCCGCTGCTGTGCGCGGCCTTGCAACCGCATTTGAACATGTGGCCGGCTTGGTCACCACCTGCACAGCACAGCAAGAGAACATCCTCTGCGTGGACACCCTGCTCAGGAAGCAGGCTCGACTTATCGACGACCTGCTTGACCGGGTACGCCGGCTGGAACAGCAGCCGGCAGCAGCCACCATCGCCGGACCCTCCAACTTGGCAGATCCCGTCCACGTCTTGGAAGTGGACGTCAGGACGCTCAAGGATGGCGCTCAAGCAACAAATCATCAAATTGACCAGCAGATTTGCACCCCCGCAGCCAGTCTGACCGCGACTACTCGCAAGAGCATCACGAAGTTTGACGGCATACCGATCTTCTACGATGCAGAGAAGACGGACCCGATCCCATGGTGGCACCAACTTGAGTTGAAGTTGGACATCCACAAAGTCAGCGATGCGAACCGGCACGCATACTTGTACTCCCGATCGGGGGGCACATGTCAAGCATGGCTGGACAATATGTTGTCCACGCACACCATCGCAGTCTCCGAGCTGCATACGCAGATCAGCTGGCCTGATCTCAAGGCAGCATGGAATAAACAATTCCAAGTGGAGCCGCCCGAGCTTCAGGCAGCCGAGAAACTTCAATGGTTCTATCAGAACGACCTGCCAAGCACGGACTGGATAACCGAGTACCAACGCTTGGCGTCCATGCCCAACTTGTCGTCGACGTTTGTCGGCATCAAACATTTCTTCATTAGGAGGAGCTATCCGGTGTGGCAGAACGCCTTGACGCAAGTTGCGGAGACGCTCATCACAAGTGAGCAGCTTTTTGATAAAGCCTCGCAGATCAACGTGACGAACACCGAAGCCAAGAATTTGGGCCGTTTGTCTGCTGCGAACCAGGGCAGAGATCAGCATCGGCCGAAAGTGGCCGTGGTCCTGGCAACTACACCGACCGACCCTTCAAACGAGGCTGCCTCTTCTGATGAAGGAGATAGATTGGCATCCGCCCAATGATGGTGGCCGCCCGCCAAAGGGCGTGGGCGCGGCAAACCGAAGACACACACCAATTCATCCCCCGGGACCGGGCCAGCTGCTCAAGAGCTTTGGACACATTACGGTATCTCGGAAGGCGTTTACCGCATCCGTACTAAGCACAGATACTGTTTGTGGTGCAACAGCGCAGTGCACGACACCACGCAGCGCCCCACATAAGTCAAAGGAAAATTCCCTTCGGGAAAGTGAGCACTACCGAGAGTGATGCAGCTGCACTCTTGACGCCTACGAAACCGGTTGCTTCGCAAGCGACCTCTCTTCATTCCGAGGCACATGTGGAAGTTGACAGTCCCCTCTTATATTCTTATGAGGACTATGCTGCCCGGCTCGTTCCTTTGCTGGGTTCTCAAGCTCAAGGACAAGATGTGTGTGAGGTTTCTTCTCCGTCTGGAAGCAGCGGCAATTTATCGTCTTCAAGTGGTTCTTCAAGGGATTCGACGCACGAGTTCAACATAGAGGTCTTGGACCCGTTGACGTTTGAGGATTTTGCATGGCTTCCTCTCCCTTCCACAGGCTGCTTACCAAAACCGCAATGCGCAGCATTATGCGCCCATCTCCACACATACTTAGCCTTCTATGCACCACCATCTTCGTTGATGGATGACGAAGCTGCGGTGGGGGACATCCTTGCGTATGTTAGCAGGGTGGCCCGTGAGTTTCGCACGCAGTGGTATGATGATAACAACACACTGCTCCTTTATGTCCGCATCCAAGTTGGGCAAGCGTCCTGCAGCGCTTTGCTGGATAGCGGCGCGACTCACAATTTCATCAGCCAGTCCTTCATCCAAAGGGCCAGCCTTGGCGCACAAGTTCGAAGGAAGCCAAACCCGACGGCGATCAAGTTGGCGGACGGTCCGATGCAACAAGTCCTCGATCACTACATCAAAGTCGTGCTGGTTTACTTCACACCTCATGCATGCGAACCGGTGAAGTTTGACGTCTTGGATACGGACTTCGATATCATTTCGGGGATGCCTTGGCTTTCAAGTGCGGATCACATGGTTAACTTCCATCAGCGGACACTTACCGTTCGCAAAGCCTTCGGCGCTGAGGTGCTGTGTGCCATTCCTCTTCCGCACCCTTCGATCCGGTGCCATGTTGTAACGGCCAAGTCTTTTCGGACCACTTGTGCTTACGAGCGGACCGACGAGATAGGCCTACGTTTTCTACGAATTGTCGCGGCGACCGAATCTTCACCTACAGAAGTGTCTTCGGACCCCTGAGTGGTGCGGTTGCTCGATGAGTTCACCGACATCTTCGAGTCTCCTACCGGTGTGGTGCCGGATCGGCCGATCTCTCACGAGATCATTCTTGAGGCCGGTGTCGTGCCACCGAAAGGATGCATCTATTGCATGAGCGAGGAAGAGCTCATGGTTCTCCGCGCGCAACTCGATGATCTGTGAAACAAGGGCTGGATCCGCCCTAGTAGCTCACCATATGGTGCGCCAGTTCTCTTCGTACGGAAGAAGAACAAGGATCTTTGCTTGTGCATCGATTACCGCAAGCTCAACGCACAAACAGTCAAGAATGAGGGACCTCTTCCGCGCATTGACGACCTTCTTGAGCGTTTGGGCGGTGTGAAATTCTTTTCGAAGTTGGACTTGAAGTCGGGCTATCATCAGATCTCGATACGCCCGCAAGATCGCTACAAATCTGCGTTCAAGACGCGGTACGGGCATTTTGAGTGGGTTGTTATGCCTTTTGGCCTCACCAATGCCACGACAACTTTTCAAGCGACGATGCCCAACGAGTTCCTCACGATGTTGGACCGGTTTGTGCTAGTCTACTTGGACGACATCCAAGAGTGGTCGGAGCCGAAGAACGTCACAAATGTTCGTTCCTTCCTTGGCTTAGCCGGCTACCATCAACGCTTCATCAAGGGATACTCGAAGATTGCGGCTCATCTATCCAAGCTTCAATGCGAGGACCGGCCATTCGACTTCGACGATAATGTGCGGGCTTCCGTTTTGGCCCCAAAGCCGCATTACTATCCGCGAAGTTGTTGCGCATCTACGATCCGCTATTGCCGACACGCGTGACGACTGATGCGTCCAGCTATGGCATTGGTGCCATCCTCAAGCAACATGATGGCGTGGACTGGCACCCGATCGAGTACTTTAGCAAGAAAGTGCCCCCCGTGCACTCGATTGACGATGCACGGAAGATGGAATTATTGACCTTCGTACACGCGCTCAAGCGCTAGCGGCATTTTCTTCTTGGTCGGCGGCAGTTCCAATGGGTGACGAATAACAATCGGTTGGTCTTCTACAAGACCCAAGACATGGTCAATAGCACCATTGCCCGTTGGATGGCTTTTACCAACCAGTTTGACTTCTTTCCCAATCACATCCCGAGCAAGTCAAACTGTTTTGCGGATGCTCTTTCACGGCGTCCGGACCATTGTACCGCAATTTACTTGACTTTTGAGATTGACGATGACTTGCGGGACAACTTCATCTGCGGCTACCAAGCCGACCCCGAGTTTCGCGACAAGTACACGAATTGTTCCTCTCCCAATCCGGCGTCATTGCACCATCGGATCCAAGAGGGATATTTGCTCGTCCACTCGTGGGGGAAGGATCTGCTTTGTGTGCCGCGAGATTCACACTTGCGCACGCGACTTCTTGGTGAGTTCCACAGTGCCCTCGCCACCGGACATTTTGGAGTCAATCGTACGATTGGCCGACTCCGTAAGCGCTTTTGGTGGCCCGGTCTTCTCGACGACGTCACACTCCATTGCGAGTCATGCGAGGTTTGCCGACGTTGCAAATCCCGCAATCACCGTCCATACGACGAGCTGCGACCACTACCGGTCCCCTTGCACCGAAGGGAAGTGATTGCCAATGACATTACCGGGCCGTTCCCCAAGCACAAGACTGGTGTGGATGGGATTCTCACGGTGGTCGACCGACTCACTAAGTTTGCCATGTTTTTGCCTTGCCACTATCATGCCAAGGCACCGGAGTTGGCCGAGGTTCTTTACGCGGTTGGATTCAAACCAAGGGTTATCCCAAGGAAATCATTTGCGACCGCAATACTCGGTTCGTGTCCGATTTTTGGTTGGCGCTGATCAAACGATGGGGCTCATTTCTCAAGCCGAATTCGGCTCGCCAACCCCAAACCGATGGCCAGTCGGAGAGGGCGCATCAGACCGCACAGGTCCTACTTCGCACTCTCATCCATCCCGACCAAAAGGATTGGGTTGAGCGGCTGCCGAATGTCGAGTTGGCATACAACTCATCTATCCATCCGGCTATCGGGATGTTGCCCTTTGAGTTCGAGCATGGCTCGCCAGTCACTTCTCCGTTGGACACGATTATCCCACAGGCGGTCGAGACCGACGACCATCTTCTCTTCATTCGTCGGATGCAAGAGCTTCTTGTCAAGGCACGCGACCAAATGTCGAAGACGCAGCAACGTATGTGCCAACAGGCCAATCGCCAGTGTCTTCCTTGTCTGTTCTACGCCGGCGACCTCGTATGGGTGTCCACCGTGGAATTCAGCCTTGAGCAAGATATCTCTCGCAAGCTCCTCCCGAAGTGGATGGGGCCCTGGCCCATTGTGGCACCCGTTGGGGATGCACCCGAAGGACCTTCATTTGTCATTCAGGTGCCCGCCCACTTGCCCGTCTACCCGGTCTTCCATTGTTCGAAGTTAGCATTGTTCACTCCAGCGGAACACGACGACTTTCCCGGGCGGCGATTGCAGGACTCGCCCTCTATGGACGGTTTTCAAGAGGTTGGCAACATCATCTCCCAGTGACGCTACGGCAACAGGCTGGCAGAGTACTTGGTACAATTCTCTTACCGTAGCCATAAGGATGACCGTTGGTTGACCCGTACGGAACTTCAAGCAACAGCGCCTGGCGTTCTCACACGTTACGAACGCAAGTTACAAGGCAAGCAGGTACCTTCGGCTCCACATCGTACTCGCGTCCGGGTTCCACCTTCGGATCGTTAGTTGTGACCTCGACCCGGCTTGCGAGATGCGGAAGCGCTGCTGCTGCTTGTGCGTTAATGCAACTTGGGCACTCCGCGCCAGGAGGAAGAAGAAGCCACCTGGTCTCTCCATAGCTAGGGTAGTAGTAGTAGGGGACCGGCAGCCATAGCCGCCAAGGTGGAATGTTACATGCTGCGCCTGCACACGGGCCCCTTTTACAAGGCCCGATGGTTGCTGAGGGGCCCCCAGGCCGCACGCCATCCAACACGCACCCTGCAGCCCCACGGCGGCCTTTCTAGGCCGCAGGTACAGCTTGAGGCAGCATTTATTTATTTATTTATTTATTTATTTATTTGAATGTGCTGCCCTACTTTGTCTGTTCAGATGCCGTTTCGAACTGCAACGACCTTGGGATTGGGTACACCAGAGGCAGGGCCTAAAAGAGGCCAGGCGCACTTTGGCGCCTTGCTGCATCAGCAGCACAGTCTGGACGCCCGGTAGGGGCCCAGACCGGATGGGCCATTTTAGGCCAGCACCAGGTAGACCCAGCCACGCCCAGCGCTACATATACCTGGGCAGCGCCTGGGCACTACACAGTACGAGTAGCTCACTTCTTGGGCACCACGCTGCTGACCAGCACCTCACCGATAGCACTGCGCTGCGTTAGGACTAGCGGAGTAGGCAGGAGATAGCGCGGAGGCCATACCTGCAGCGTTCAAGTACGTACCTGGGCGCCATAGCTGGACTTGGCTCCAGCGACCTGCAGCACAGCGTACGCCGGCGATGTCAGTACTTGGCAGAAGTTACCTGCAGGTGAGACAGTGAGGAGGACGACATCATCTTCTTCTTCTTCTATCTGTTCTCGCCCTCCACCCCTTCTTCTTCCTTCCTTCTTCTTCTTCTTCTTCTTCTTCTTCTTCTTCTTCTTCTTCTTCTTTCAGAGAGAAA